CGACCTCTGTGGAGTTGCAGATCTGGCCACCGCCATGGTCAGTTGCTTCGCAGCCGCTAGGGACTGAGGGCCGTGAGTTAATTGACGCATGCATGTGGTTAGTTGCCCGATATTGCACCAGGGGGGCCCAATCCATCTCTGATGCAATATCTTCTCTCTCTCTCTCTCTACGTATATATATATATATATATATATATAGAGAGAGAGAGAAAGAGAGAGAGATTCTTCTGCATATATATATGCAGAAGAATAACTTCGGCTGCCGCAAGGTTATAAATATGAAAGTAGATGCGCTTTCACATAACAACTGTTTATTTTGCCGACGTTTCGACGGGAACCCCGTCTTTTTCAACGCCAAATATATATATATATATATATATATATATATATATATATACTCACGGCTGGTTATTCTTTCACCCACTTTTCTTTCTTCTTATTTACATTCCATTGGTTCTAATAACTTCCCCTATAAATTCCTTGGCATTATTGTCTGTTAGATCTCAATAATATTGTGTCAAAACACGGAACAACGAGCCCTTAGGTATACACTTCCCTTATATATATATATATATATATATATATATATATATATATATATATACATATATATATATATATATATATATATATATATATATATATATATATATATATATATATATATATATGTGTGTGTGTGTGTGTGTGTGTGTTGTGTGTGTGTGTCTATTTCGTTCACTGTCTGGCGATATTTTTCCTTTCTTACCTTCCTGTCTTTTGTTTTCTTTTGCTTATCGTGAATTTCTTTCCCTTTTTCTTTCTGTAGCCAACCTCTCGCTTTATATTTTTACATTCAATTTCCCTTTCTATTTCACGTACTTTGTCTTTTTTTATCTATTTTCCCGTTCTCTTTTTCCCCTCACTCTAACCTCCTTTTTCCACCGTCTTGATATTGCCACGTTTGCCAAGTTCCGTCATAAAGTTTTGTTATCGCGCCGTTTCACTGTCAGTAATTCTAAGCGCAAGCCACGCCTACAGTGCAATGTTCGAGAAGCTTCTGGATGGCAGTACATTATTTTGCCAAGATTACACTCACTTCGTGAACATGACAGATTTTTTGGTGCCTACGTCACCCCTAGCGGTAACACTGGAATATTCGTTGGCAACTGTATAAATTCTGACACGCTTCGCCGCTCGTCAGTAGCAGGGCAAGTCTGTTACTGTGATCCGACTTTCTATTTACCGGGCGCAGGTTCGCTCAAATGACCAGTTTAATCTTCAACTTACTGTCTGCTTCTTCGTCGACGTCACGACCCCAAGACGATATACTATACTGTGCAAAACTGCTGTGTACTGCTAGAGTGCCTGTACAGTCGAATAGTTATTACTATCACCCTAGAATCGTAGGAAGGCAGGTTCAACTCATGCATTTGCAAAAATTTTGTCATCAAAAATTTCTCTCTATTACTTTCTTTCTCTCTTCATTTTTCTCCCTGCCCTCATTCATTCTCCCCAAAAAGGTTATTGCATACCACACCGGGCAAATTGGTGCACGTTTTCCAGGAGTGGAGTAGAAAGGGAAGGTGATGAAGAAGAGAGCGAAGAGATGTGCTCTGGTTTATGATGATTTTTTTAGGCCTATGAGACACGGCAAACCTTTACCATAAAAGCTCTGTTATAAAACTTACGAACTACAAAAGTGGTTTGTAGTGCAATGCATTCAGGTCTTCCATGGCTGTCTATATATAGTACACAGACCATCGCAACTTTCTGTTTTAGCCGAGAGAGGTACTTGTCTGAAGTTTCGGACAAGGCTACAGGCCAAGGATTAGCATTTTTGTAGAGGGTACTGTTAAGCGTGACACTCGTGAAACGTAATTGAGGTTCGTTGGTTAACGGCGTCAATACCTGGCACCTTGCTACAGGCGTGCAACGTACAGATTGTGTGAAGTCAGCCCTGAGGTACTAAATTGTTTTGCACACATGTCGAAAAGCTTTGTTGCCTAGTTTGACACGCTTTCAAACTTCACTGAACTATAAAAAAATATTTTGAACACCAATTGTTGCTGCAGTCAGCGTTTTGACAAGTGGTCTTGTCTGTTTCGAAATATAAATTGCCTGGAAGAAGACAAAGAACGTTTCAGCGACAAACATGTACCACCAGTAACGAAACCGTACTAACAGTCTCAATCTCAAACACTTTAAACGCGAATGTGTTATCTGAAAGGTTTATATTGCAATATATACTCGCCGTCTCTGAAAGCGTCAGGAGGCCATCTGCTGAAAATCCATGACCCCTATTATATTCACGTTGCCGTTAGTAATAATACATGTAAAGCATTTTAAAGATGCTACTCATAAATACTGACAGTTAGCGAAACAAATTATGTCGGCATGCAACTAACAACACCAGGAAAAATTATAAAATTCAAATTCTGGATGATAAAAAAACTTCCCGTTTTCTGGATTCTTTTGCACCATTCGCTTACTTATCATTCGAGGTGCAAAAACAGGGTGCAGTGTTTTCCGTGACTTTTATTTATTTATTTACAAATACTACTGGCTCTACTCGGGCCCAAGCAGGAGTGGTAACGTCATTGAATAACAATACCAACAATATTACAAATATTTCAAACATATCAATATTTGCCATTATTATTGTCGGTATTGTTTTAGATTAAACGTAAACCCCAATTAACAAGGCCGGAATGAAAGTTTTTAATGAAGTACTAATTTTATTAGGAACTTTTCAAAGAATTTTATTAAGAATCATTAACTTTATTAAGAACTCATTGATAACATTCCCACTGCGGCGGTCAAGTAGCTAAGGTACCCAGCTGCTGACCCGAAGTCGCGGGATGAAATCCCATTGGCTGCATTTTATTTAGATGTGAAAATGCTGTAGGTCCTTGTGCTCAGATTTGGGTGCACGCTAAAGTACCCCAGGTGGTCAGAATGTCTGGTGCCCTCCACTATATGGCGTCTCTCATTATAATATGGTGGTTTTGGGACGTTAAACGTCACATATCAATTATCAATCAAACATTGATAATAGTGGCTTTGTTACAATAGTGCTTCAGGTATAGATCTCCAATTTTCCTAATGAACTTTAGAGTGGCCCCGTTTCTATGAAATTATAAGTCAATTGAAAAATGTGCAGAAAGTCCACTTTTTACAAACATTCTGCCCACTGTGTCTTAACAGAGTCCGCTACAATTTTGACTTGTGTACAACTTCCCTATAGTAGTCCTGGAGAGCGTTTGGCGACCATGCTTTGGGTGTCCTGTGGAGACGTGGAGGCCCTGCCTCAGTGTTACCCGGTTGACTTGCTGGGTGGCCCAAACTTACTCACCAAAAAAGGGGCTGCGCAAGGTGGTGACCCATCATGGTGAAGTTGTTCTAATTGCAATTTGTTTTGCGTGGGTAAAAGAGTTATGTCTGCACCTGTTACCCTATTCATTCCTCTTTATATTGCTTTTATTGACCTATTTTTTTCTGCCATACTCCAACAGTTAAAATTCTTTGGTTTAAAGGAGAAGTTCCTTGCAGATGCTAGTCAGGGTGCGTGAAGGCCTTCCCTTCTTTCGTAAAGAATGATCACTGTAAAAAAATTCTGCCTTAGAAAGAAATAAATTCAAACTTACTTGTTTACGAGAGTCGCTCCATGTTTGTACGACAGAGATTCACTGAGAACTCCACTATCTATACGCCTTCCAGTGTTGCCCGAGCTTTCAAATCATTCAAGGGCTACACCAGACAACAGTCAACTCTCCCACTTACATTCGTCCAAACAGCGTAATGTTTTAATCAGTCACACGACAAGAACTTCAGCGCTGCTTAGACAGCCGGTACAAAACAATGAGCACATACTTTTCTTAACCGTCCTCAAATACAAGCATATATCAGACAGTGCACGGTCATACAACTGCTGCTAGATATGAAATGTGCGTATTCTGCACTGTTGCTGTTAAAGAAATGAAAAAAAAACATGTAGTGCAGTCAACATCAAGAACAATCATCGTGCGTTAAAGTTCAGTGCGCACTTTATGTACACGCAGTGTCGAATGGTATTCGAAACACTCATTCGGTGCATGACTTGAAGACATGCACGTTGCAGGCCGCGTGAGGAAGTGTCTACGCTGCTGACACGTTTGGAAGGCGTAACAGCTGAATGAGCCACAGTCTATGAAGTCGTTGCCTCGACAGTTGAGTCCTTTTTGGCCACGTGCATCGCAATAGGCAAGTAACGTAGGCACAGTTCAAAAGAGTTCAAAATTCTTCGCCATTGTTTTTCCTCCGACTTGCTGCTGTAACTGCCCAGGGGAAGCACGACGGTTTCTCTCGGCCACACTTGTGTTTTCAGGGTGATTCAAACTTTCCTCGAAGTAGCCGAGAAGTTATCTCGTCCACGCAGAACTATGTACAAACTGAGTCACACTTCAGTCTTTTTACAGTCCCGATGGGATTCCTATTTAATTATCAGGAAGAAGCAGAAAAAGAAAACCTGCCGTGTTGTAAATTCCCATTCCAAAAAATTGTGTTTCATACAAATTGTATAACGCTTAACAACAAATGACCAATTGCTGAGAGTCGCGCTTACCAAATTTTGCGCACCATCTTAACAGGAAACTTTATTTTTTATGGAATTACACTTGAGACATGAGACAATTCATGTTTTGTATAGGACATTCGAATTCCCTATTTTAATGATGAAATAACGCTCAATCGCTCAGTCCTTTCGATAGCCTTTACAAACAGGTCGTTTCAAAGGAGCTAATAATTAGGTGAACATTGTGAAGGCAGTGTTGAATACTCGTGTTTCCACTTTAATGAATTAGTCTTCCATGTTAGTGACTTTCAGTTTCATGTGAGAGTGGTTTGCTCTGCATGCAATAAACGTTCGTTGTGGCGCCATGTAAAAGAAATGTATCCACCTTTTAAAAGGTCCAGACAAAAAAAAAAGTACTGTACATAGCCGGAACTCCAATATTGCACTGACCCCGAGACTCTTTTCTGAGCCCTGTCAAACACCAGTGCGCACTCAAATGGTAGCCGGTTGGGAGGAGTTGCCGCTCAGGCCTTCCGCAATGTTCGGGGCGGAAAGGAAGTACGGTCATCACAATCACTCGATGACAATATCGCCTTGCGCAAGGCGCTGCTCCCGCTGTCAGGAGTAGACACCGTCGTTGCTTTGTATTGAAAAATGTCGATACGAGATGTACTCCTGAGGAACTTCTTGCGCCTTGGCTGGACGCCTACGCCGACGTCGCCGCCGAAACTTGAGCGCCGTGAGCAGCACAGCAAGCACGAGAATGAGCACGGCACTCACGCTACCGCCTAGGATCATGCCCAGCGTAGACAGAGTCACGCGTGTTCTGTCCGTGCGTGCCAGTGTCCGAACCTGCAAACCCCACAATAACGAGTTAACGACGTGTATTCACAGCACATACCACCTAGAAAGCATTGCCGATTTTTACCTTTTTTTTTACTTTTCTTAAGGTAGGAACATATTACGAAGGAAAAGTGGTAACTGAGTATTCAATTAGGAATTCGCCAAAAATATACTTGAAAGTCTACATCATGATAACAAAGTTCTAATCCCTTATAATAAAACCTTGCATCCACATAATAATAACAAACACACTAGCGCAGTGTTATTATGCAAGCCAAAGCATTATCTTTAAAATCTATTTCACAAGTTGGTATTGCTTCAAAGTTTGATTAGCACATCTCTTTGTGACAACTGTAGTGAGAAAACAGCAGTAATTGTCCACAGGCTGGCCTTTTTTTTCAATCCCACATTGATAGGCATTGTTACATTTTAGCAGAGATCCTATTTTTTGTGGAGTATTTCATGTCTGGGATCGTTAATAAACCTTTTGAGCTTCATAAACGGGAATGATCTATAGAGAGTTAGTAAATTCCACTTGTCAACACTGATCCACTAAAAACGAAGGCAAAAGCTAGCCCAACAAATGACGCGCCCGTTACCATTGTGACACCACTGTTACGTGATACTATGTCTCTGTAAAAGTTGGGGCTGTCCTACGACCTCAAAGTTTAAAAAAATAAGAAATAGCCGATTTCACGTACAGGGAGAATTGATGATATGCTAAGCACAAACGAGGAGGGTTTAATAGTCCCCATTAAATCAGAACAACGTTACGAGGCTGACGTAATATACCGTACATGGCCTTTATGTGATGATTATTATGTTTGCGCATGGAATTTGTGTTTGTCGTCCATTCAAGTCATGCATTACCAAATTTGGTATATGTGAAGCTAGCAAAACGAGCGCAAGCGCGTCATGAGCGTGGCATGTAGTCATGTTCTTACCAGACACGCGTGTCATGAATTTCACGTGAGGGCTTGTCACTCATGTTCGCCACGCAGTCATGCAATTCCATAACAGCTTTGCAATTTGTCAAGTGAATGAAACCACCGTAGGAGAAGCAAGACTATGACAAGTAAACTATAACATTCATGACATACTTGTCGTGACTTTCATGTTATGACTAATCTGTAATGCTCTTCACACAGTCATTTTATACCACACCACTTTTGGTATATAAGCCACTATCTAAACGGCCAGGAGAGCTAAACGTTATAGGCGGCAGGATAGATAGATAGATAGATAGATAGATAGATAGATAGATAGATAGATAGATAGATAGATAGATAGATAGATAGATATATAGATAGATAGATAGATAGATAGATAGATAGATAGATAGATAGATAGATAGATAGATAGATAAGATAGATAGATAGATAGATAGATAGATAGATATAGATAGATAGATAGATAGATAGATAGATAGATAGATAGATAGATAGATATTCTAATTCGCCGAAGTTTGCTAGGAAATTGCACAGCCTTTTTTAACACTTTTTTAGGTAGCTGTTGCAAGCACACGACCAAGGTACCCAATACGCCATAAATTATTGTGTAGTAGGCAGGCGTTCACAGTGCCATCCCTCGTCGTTCTTCAGATAAGTGTGCTACACGCTGCACACTTGCAAGGATATTCGTGCAATTATTTATGCTGTGGCTGACGACGACGAAAAATTATGCCAGAAGTTTTTGTAATCCCCCGCAATCCCACACAGTGGGTATGCTTCACAGTTAACGGGTGAACTACATCAACCTTCTCTAATGTGTTCGAGAACTCAACAACCCACTCGTTGAGCAATTCACATTGTGTGGCACCTGGTTGTTCTTTTGCTATTCGAAGATGCTCCTATACTGAAACCAACCAAATTCCTAGGTAAACTAGTGTGCGCAAGTAAGAATAAGGCCGCAGAAAAGATGGACACACCAGTTTACCTAGGAATATGAACCAAATCGGCCAGCTGCACGTTTTACAAACGCAATTGTATGCATTGCTGGTTTGAACTGCCCTGAGTTTAATTTGATTTTGCCGTTTTTGTTGCCACAGTTGCCATGGGAATATGGGGCTCTGTCAGGCTGTTTTATACAGCTTTTTTCCTCTGTCCCAACCACTTACTGAGCAACTGTACGTTGTAAATAAACTAAACTCAAACTCAAGCTCAAACTCAGTTCCTTTGCCGAAATCAAGCCTGCCTAAGGCCCGCTTGCAACGCTGTTCTAAGCATAGGCATGGCTAAGTGGTAGAATAATAGGCTGGCACGTAGAAAACAGGGTTGTAATTCCAGTTTATTTTTTGTGTTTTTATGTACAAAATTTTTTTCTTGTTTTCTGCAATTGTGGTTACGGCCACAGGTGGTGGCGGTGGCGGCAGTGGACAACTGCGGCACCGCACCTGTCCCTTGTTGTGATCTCATATTAGCTTTAGCTGTAATATTCACTAAAGCGCAGTAATAAAACATTTCGCACCATCTTGAGGCATGGCTTCTTTGTAAACCTATGTATAAGGTGGTACGTTCAAGATACAATAAATTCATACGGTTACCCCAGAGCTTAACAAACAGGGCTTAAAAAAGAGCAGTGATACCGCATATTTGAAAGACTTCAAGAACGTAGAAGTGCATTAGTCTAACCAAGGGAACACCACCAGCTTCATCAGTTCTGTTAAGTCCTCATAAGGGGCTGGCGCATTACGTTCATTCACTTCCCCTTAAATGTTAAAAGAATTTTGAATGTTCTGGCTTTATTCGATAAAAAAAAGTTCAATTGTTATTGTGAAATTTTGTTGCACTGTAAGCAACCAAAGCTTTTAAACTTCAGTAATCGCTGTGGCATTCGCGTTTGTGGGCGCGATGCACATGCATGGAGTTGTTGTGACATTTTGACAAAACACCACGTCATAGTAGAACATGCTAACTACCGCGCGGTTGTGCTCAAGAAGTCTTCTGCAATAGGCAAACATTACGCCTTTTCGAAGTTGTGTTTAAATTTATAATCTTTACTCGAGATGCAGACGAAGTGATAAATACATATATGCCATAACGTTCAGCTTCCAGGATGATGTTGAAAGTGTTGAACACGAAGAAAAACGCGTTGAGGATCGCAGTAATGAATGATAACAATGAACATATTGAAGCAGAGTTGTTAGCAAGGAGGCGCCCTACGAATGATAATGATGAATATCAAACTAATTGTGATCGCGTATACCTTGAAATAATGGCGTTAATTACGACAAGAGATAAAGATGATTCTTGTACTGTAAGTGCACTGTACAAACGTGGGCTTTGAGTCGAACACACAGATATTTAACAGGCAGTCTCTCCATGTTAGCTTGAAAAAAATTTTGAAGGTCGATGCCTTTGCGTGCTGCAGGAGCTTGAACCAAATTCGGAAATTAATGAGGTGCTGCACAATAGGCACAAACACTCAAACATAAAATGATGGAAACACGCCGCATGTGTTTGCATCATTATAATTTTATGCGAATTCTTGTGTCTTTAGTTCACAGCTTTAAAAATGCCATTGTTCACTTCCTCACTCATAATGGCATAGGCACCTATTAAGCAACTGCAGAAACTGAAAGCACACAGTGACCACTGTGTTGTAGATGCGAAGCACTTTATGCGCGCGAGCTGTCGACGTCTCCTGTTGTCATACGTCATGAAAGAGTTAGTTGCAAAAGCTCCCGACAACACGCGCTCGCCTGCGAGAGAGATCGCCGCCTGTGCTTCTCCAAGTCGCAAATAGGACGGTTCGCTCGCTCACGAAGCGCTCTATTTCTGCGATGCACGCTGTCTGCGACCTTGTCTGTAACATTGAGTGGGCACTGCCCTCAAATTGCTATTGAGGTGTCTGTGTGGGAAACACTGGCGTTTCATGCCTCTTTAGGTTTCACGCTGATGGAGCTTTTTTCTGAAGAGCTCTGACGGTCATCGCGCTTTCGTGCTGAAGATACCGAGTACTAAACTGGCATGTGGATATAATGTTTTGTAACAATACGAGAATTCATCACTCCTAAAATTCGCTGCAATATCGCAAGATTTCTTTTTTTTTTTCACTTTCATCCACTAGCACAACTAAAAATTTCCCGATGTGGCCACGACGGAAGGCTCACACTGCTCATAGCCTGCTCGAGGGTTGACGCTGCAAGAGAGCTTTGCCACATCGCGCGTAATGCAACACTTACGCATTGGAATCTTCCGCTAAATTCGACTCAATGCCCACCACACCTCGGTTATTACTCTAAACACAGCTGCCACCAAAGACTTCACGATGTGACGCTATAATGCTGTGTCAGTTGAGGTTCAGCATAGTGTCAACCAATTCATTCACTTATCGCAATATTATGGCTGACTCCCTCTACTGTGATAACTTGATTAAAGACCCTTCTCCGCATCCTGCATTATTGTCTCGACATAGAAGAAGATCGCCGGACTGTCCAGTGTGTCTTAAAGAGACTCGATGATCGACCGTTTACTCTGGAGAAGTTTTTGTGTGCGTGACCTTCATGTACATCAGCCCAGAAAGCCACATTAGCCGTTCTACAATTCTTGAGGTCAACATCACTGAGCGACCACCTGTGAAGCCCTGCATTTTGTGTGCGCCGTGTGAGTTTTGTGCCATGCCCATTTCCTGATCTCTCTTACTCTTCCTGATCTCTTTTACTTCCTAGTTTCTCTCTCCCCACGTGTGGGATAGCAAGCAGGACTTAGTCTAGTTAACCTACCTACCTATTCTATATTCTTTTTCTCTCTCTCCCCCGGAAAAGGAGAAAATTCTCTGTCTGGAAGATCACTCAGTAGGACGGCTTGAGGAACACACAAAAGTTTAAGAACAGTCGAACTTATGTCGCGTATATTCGTTCAAGCATTTACTTCAGTATGACATCTTCCCAAAGCATCATTAGCATAGTCAGGTCTTGCTTCCAGAGACCTTTCTGCAGCTGGACTGGTTAGCAGTGTCATATTCATGGCTCTCGTACAGGTCCCTAACTTTTTTTGCTTTGCTGTATAAATACTTTTCATAACACCTCATTTAAATTTTTTACTGCTTCATACTTTTTTACTGCACTATACTTCATTTTTTAAAATTAACTATAGTGTAAACCCAACGTAAAAGTAGATAGACGAGTAACAGAAGATATCAAAAGAGCTGCCGAAGCGTTCGAAGAGAACTTTCTTTCTTGCTATGCTACGATCTCTGCACAGAGAGCATGGAAAGCCACGACTTCCAAGATAGTTTTGGTTAAACTGCGCCCATTGTTAGTGCGATTCACCTCGAACGCCTATTGACTGACCTGTAGACACTTGCGGTTGTTGGTGGACATGTCGTAGGGCCGCTCCACGTCGGCAGTGTAGGGCGTGGGGCGACCGAGGCTTCGCAGGTACTTTCCGGTAGCGGTTACGCACACTGTGTACCAGGTTTCAGAGCGCAGACCATCCACTTCATAGCGACGCACGCCCGGCTCGAGTGAGGCGCCAGCTGAGGGCGCGGGCTCCGAGGTGGCGTGGTAAGTGACCAGGAAGCCTCCGATAAGTGTGCCGTTCTGGACGTCCCACTCGAGCTGAAGGCGGTCGTGGTCGAGGCGTCGCACCTCGGCGGACGTCATCAGGGGCGCCGGGCAGAAGTCGACCGGATGTAGTGAGGCGACCGGACTGGTTTGCCAGCTTGTCCGGCTGCGCGCAGCTCGGTCGCCGCGTGTTGAGGCGCGGGTGGTCTTGCAGCCACTCCCACAGACCCAGCAGCCGGCAGTCGCAATGGAACGGGTTGCCTGCGGGAAATGCAGCAGCCGCGCTTCGCAACACTAGAAGCGTGTACAGCTTGCTAAACACTCGCCTTTCTATATTTTTTTCGAAGTGGGTCTACTTTGCAATGTGTACTGTTTATGCTACAAAAAATAACGAACGAAAAGTTTGGCATATATCACGTACCTTTGGAATGGGTGTTTTGCGAAGCATCCAGATAAGGTGACAATGCTCTAAATTTTATTGATTGAAACTTTACGAAGTAGCGCTAAATATATTTACAAATGCACGCACAGACATACGTTAAATTGCGCGTATGTTTTATAATAGCAGTTATTTACAGTTACGTAACGATGCCTTCAGTAACATGGCTATTAGAACTCCAAAAGCGGTAATCTGATATGAAGCGCTGGTGCTCGCATGGGTGGTAGCCCAGAACCCCGGAACACGGCTACATAAATCAACTTCCTGTGATGGCGCCAAACTATAAATGATGGTAACCCGATGTTGCGGTTGCATCATAGGAGTACCTATATAATGTTTATAAATTCGATTAGCCAGTTCTACAACCACAGTTGACGTTGTAAAATAATTCCGAAGCTAGCATGGCTCTGTGATAGAATACTTGATTGCTACGCATAATGCTAGCGTTTGATTCCATACTGGGACACTGCCATTTGTTCTTGACATTCGTCCGGTCAGCGCTGCCGAGGTCAGCATTTTCTTGAAGTTCGACCGTTAAAATTACCCATGTGTCTTCTCGCCGTTCTTGGGTAGATATAAATTGTCAGTCACCTGTGGCACATACCCTCCCACGGGATTGTGACATAATTCACGTCATTTTCACCACAGTTATTTACGTAAGTGAAATTCAAAATTCAGCCCTTATATGTTGTGATCAGGCAAGCGTCTCGATTATTCGAATGCTCATTATCCTTACGTTCTCTTGTCGTCTCGTTATTCAAGGCACAAATCATCTGACCATGGGGCACTGTTTGCCAAAAAAAGCGGCAGTGCAATAATCTCAAGGTCGTGACTCTCATGAAAGCGCCAACTCAACTTTTATTCTCGATAAACTTTTTCACTCTGCGTTCTTTACAAATAACCTTACTTTAATTAAGTTGTTACGTAACTGAGTAGCGTATACCTTACACTGTTCTTGTCATTACAGTAAATGATGCGTCTCTCATAATCATATGGTGGTTTTGGGACGTTAAACCCCACAAATCAATCAATTACAGTAAATGAAACACGTGATGATTTCTTACACGACAATAACAGTATCTGTGCAATGCAAGCTTTTGTTATTTGAAAAGACCTGCAAAAATTTATATCATCCTGTTCAAATTGCACTGACTTGTTCCTAATATCACCTAGCTACAGCATTAATGAGATCTAACAGATGATTATGTTAAGAAAAGCATAGGCGATGTTATTAAAAATAGGTGTAATGTTAGTGTGAAGAAAGAAAAGTGGACGAAAAGGTAACTTGCCGTGGGCAGAGACCGAACTTGAGAGCTTCGAATAACGTGTCCGAAGCTCTACAAACTGAGCTACCACAGGGGCTACCCCCTTGTCCACGTTGTGGAGTATATATGTGCACTAAACGTGGGAGCTCAGTCAGCGCCATCAGTAGCCATCCAGCGAGTGCGGAACGCTATTTTCTGCCTGTTTGGAATAACGTAGCTATTTTGGTGCACGGTAAAGAACCCCATGTGGTCGAAATTTCCAGAGTCCCCCACTATGGCCTCTGTTATAATCATACGGTGGTTTTGGGACGTTACGTATCAGTCACGTCACGTCGCACATGAGCCGATTACTAGCTGTGAGCTGATAAATAATTCCTCGTATAATCCCTCCGAATACAGCGTGTTAGCTCAGTTGGTAGAATATGAGACGCGTTAGTGGAAGGTCACAAATTCGATTCCTGTGCACGACAAGTCAACATTGCGTCTACTTTTTCTTTATTTTTACATTACAATTACTTTTAGTAACATTCCCTATACTTTACGTGACATAGATTGTCTGTGAGATCTCATTATATAGTTTCTAAAGAGAAAATGAGTCCTTCAATGTACACTTCTTCCTGGCTACAGCATTCTTTCTTTGATTCCAACGCAGTAAGCATACCAGAAAAACAAATAAATCACTTTGTCAGCCGCTTATTTAACGTTTAGCGAAATTCTTCCTAATATATCATTAGTACTTGCTTTCATCATCGATTGGACTGGAGATCAACCGCAATTCTTTCGCAAATTGAATTGCTTGCCTATTTCTTCATCCTGCCATGCCGGTTCAGGTGGGTATGCGGTACAAACTACATGGACGCCTGATTATTTTGCGTATTATGTACGTAGTCGTCATCTACAAAAGAAATGGCAGCCAGATTTACCGTTCGTTGGGTTCGAAAAGCACCAGAACTCAAGCTGAAAGTAGCCAAAATAGCCACACTATTTAGATACATTGGCATATTTGTAGCCAAGTTAAATGGAAAAAAATATTACGACTGATGTTCTGATTATTTATGTTCTGACCATTATACAACCATTTTCAATGAGCAAGGACATACAAAGAAGAACATTCAAAGTTTTTCGTTCTCTTTGGACGTAGACCTGGAGACAAGTTGAAATAATTGATTAAAATGAAATAATATCGATGCACTTGTACATAACTTATATGAATATATGCAGTTCACGCCAGAGAAAAAAAAATGTTGGAGCATGCAAGCCAACAAGTAGGGGCACAAAACATCGAATACGTTTTTCTTTTAAGCCGCAAAGAATTAGACCAGCATGGGTTCAAATATTGCCAGTCCAGCTTCAAGTACTGCAATCTGGTTAGAGAGAAACAGCCCAGCTTCATTCAGTGGCGGGCCTCTGTTTTTGTTGAGTTCGCACTTGACCGTGTGATATGCACCAAAATCACAAACCTTCGAGTAGGGTGAGCCTACAAGGTGGGCAGGCAATATGCCAGGGACGCTTTTGCCCTCATCCGTGTAAATTCGCCACTCTATATTTGCATACATGCTGTATATTGCTTTGGAATGCCTCGAGGCGCACCAGCATGCTAGTGTGGGAAAAGAGTCCTCATGAATGAGATGCCACGGAAAGACCTAAGAAAGAGTGCATTTTATCAGCACACAATAAGAGAAGAAGTGGCTCAATGTGCTACAACCGAGGTTCGAAAATAGCCAGAAAAGAACCATGGCGTCCACCTGAAATTTTCGCGGCCACGTGGGTTCGTAAATTAACCAATTCAGTGCAAAGTAGCCACTACCGGCAAACCTAACGGCCATTCATAAATATCAAGTATCTCGGTTGGCCCTCTCTCACTTACCGTGAAGAAGCAACTCTCCGAGGCGCACCTCAATGGGTTGTAGCACTGAGCTGGACAGGTAAGCGAGCCGATTGTTGCGCAGGTCTAGGCTAACGAGTGCCGTGAGGTTCGCGAAGGCATTGACGGCTATCCAGACGATCTGGTTGTCTCGTAGCCACAATCCTTTCAGGCCATAGACACTGCTGAACACGCCTTCGTGAATGCGGCTAACTTTGTTGAAGGACAGGTCCAGGTGCTCCAAACGTTGCAGGTCGGTGCCGAATCTCGGACACGTCTGCGATGTTGTTCCTCGTGAGGTTGATCACCTACGCACAGTGAACGAGTGTGCTCGTTGCAGGAGTGCACCAAACTGGCTCAGTTAACACATTATTAAGAGAAGCAAGACAGTGTTAGACATTTCACAGTCATAGAAGGGCAGATTAGCACCCAGTCTGTCTTTTTGTGCCCAACTCGTATTTAGCTCTGTTTATTCGAATTGTAATGAAGTGCACTACTAACGCCTTTCTGATAATCTCAACTATAGTCTCGGAGTCTCTAACGCAAAATTATTGAGAAATTCAGCTTTTCTAAGGAGATGAAACTTAACCGATTATATGCTGAACTTGATGTTTTATGTTATACTCTGTATAAAAAGAATATTTTTGTATTCAGAAGGCAACGAACACTTTTAGTGGCAACAGAAAATTCAGCGTTTGAATTCATCCATGGCCGCGGTGACCACATTTTCGATTTCGGCGAAAGTACTCAAGGTCTGTTCAGTTGGATTTCAGTGAACGTTAAATACCCCCCAGGTGGTTGAAAATTTCGGAGTACTCTACTGTGGCGTCTCTCATAATCATACCATGGTTGTGGGGCGTTAAACCAACAGTATAATAAATGTAAAAATAATAATAAATAAGAATATTATCGCATTATAATATTATTCTTTTTATATTAGTGAGTCAATTGAGAAATTTACTTCAGTAGAAAACACTTCTTACGCCTTCTCTAAATCATGAATGTATTCATCGAACTACAGTACAAAGTAGAACCTCCCATATGCAGTAACTCCAGACTCATGTATACTGTCAACACCAAAGTTGGCGAGATGTGGAGCGTATGGCGGAATGGCGAAAAACCGCATTGCTGTGCCGTCTACCATGACATGCATCATGGTGTTGAGGTTCTCAGCCACAGCTTATGAGGTTAGATCTAAGAGCGATGCCGTTGTCTAAACGTGCCGTTGCTGATCACCGAGGTCACGTACTAATCACCGAGGCTCCACCGTTGCTAATCGCCGAGGCCACGCCATTGCTAATCACCGTAGACACCACGCCGCGGCGCAGTTGGCGGTGCAGCAATGCAGTTGTCAGCCTCTCCGCCACGTGCTCCAGACACCGCAAACGTTTGCGGCTGACATTACGCCATGCATCCAGATATATGACACTACAAACAAGTGCAGACCATGTGGCGAGAGTGCCAAGCTCATCCTCATGCTGTGAGAGTCTCAGGGCTTTGTAAACAATTCAAACAGCACCAATTCATATGTCTCTTTCGTTGCCAGCTTGCTTTTACGCTGGAATGCCGCATTACCCAGATCGAAACTGAAAGCGCAATGCTGGGCTGGCCAGTTAGCGTGTCGTTGAAGCAGCTTTGAGACAAGCTCTTGGAATGGTGTTCAGGGCGCGTGGCCAGGTCCCCTAAAAGGACGATGTACTTGAATCTTTTGACTATAAGTTTACGCCTTTCTTTGATCACGATTTTGTCTTGTAAGATGAAATAATATTTTACGAAAGTCACTTTATAGCAGCCAATTGAGGTTTTCAGTGCAATTCACACGACAGCATAAAGGGGAAAAGAATAAAATAGACAAAATGAGACGCAGAGCCAGCTCAAAAAACAAATAGGAAGCCTTCAAAGAAATATGCGATCGAATTCAGTCTATTTTAGTTGTTTCGTTCTTTTACAAACAAAAAGCTATATGCCTTAACGAAGTTCTAATAGCCACATTACATTAAATTTGTAATTTGAAGGCTGCGCAAAAAAGCGTGATGTTAACTAATTCAGTTTATTAAGAGCTCAAAGACCGTACAACTGATATATGTTTCACCGTCTTGATTTTAAAAAACATTTAAAATAAAGCTTGTCACGTACCTGCAGGTGGTCGATTCCCTGGAAGCGTTCCGACGGCAAGATTTCTATGACGTTGTATCCGAGATCGAGCACCTGGAGCTTTTTCAAAGGTTTGAAGGCACCAGGCGACACTTTTACGATATTATTGTGCCGAAGAGAGAGTATGGACAGTGAAGGGAAGCCCAAAAAGTCATTGGACGCGATGATGGAAATATTGCCGTGATCTATACTTAGAGTTTTCAGTGCGGGCAGACTTCCTTCAGTGGTAAAGTCTTCGCGAAATCTGATTAGAGGGTTCCGGTTGATAGTTAGCGTCGTGAGTTCTTCCATATTAGATGTTAGGAGAGCATTCGGAATGAATGTCAAGTTGTTTCCATCGAGGGACAATGACTGAAGTGTTCCAAGGTCATCGGTGATTGAGGAGTTGATTGATGAAAGCAAATTTTCGGTAAGATCCAGCGCCTTCAGGCTCGGCAAACCACGAAATGCTCCTTTGCTTATGCCAGAAATGATGTTGTCGGTGAGGTTTATTTTCGTAAGCTCGATGTTTCCTTTGAAAGCGTTGCTCGGTATTGAGGCTATCTTGTTCTCTGACAGTGACAAAAACTGCAAGTTCGGCAGTGACTCCGAAACCAATGGCAAATATCTCAGGTTGTTTCCGTCTAGATGTAGTTCCGTGACATTCACAAGACCTCGCAGCTCTGTGCCCTCCAAAGAATCCAAGGCATTACCTTTGACGTTCAAGACCCTCAGTTGTGAAAGGGGCTCGAAAAGTTTACTAGTAATTGGGCCTATTTCTGTGTTCTCAACATTCAACGTCTCAAGTGAAGACAGGCCGTAAAAAATGTTATCATGTACTCCTGTAAGGTTATTACCCGAAAGATCAAGTTCTTTCACGCTAGGGAGATATAAGAAGTCAACCCTAGCACTAATTAGTTTGTTGTTACTAAGGTCTAGATGAGTTAATGATGAGAGGTCAAGGAATGATCCTGCTTCTACGTCTTCAGCCATAACGCTCGAAAGGAACAACTCCTGGAGGGGTATTTGGCCTTCAAACATGTACTTTCTTATCACGTAAATTTGGTTATGCGACATGTGTAGAATGCGCAATTTTTTCAGAGACTGAAACGTTTGCGGCTCAATATCCATGATGTTGTTATGGGATAAGTAAAGCTCTTCAAGGCTTTCGGCTCCTCGAAACATGTCCGTGTTCACGTGGCTCAACGTGTTGTACTCCAGGTACAGAGCTCTCAACTTCACCATCCTCTCAAATGAGCCGTCCTCAATGGCTATTATTTCGTTGTGGTTCAAGTGGAGTCGGTCCACTTCGAATGAGGTCACGGAATATCTGCTTCTTTATTCTCTTGAGTTTGTTCCAATCTAGCCACAGAATATCTACTTTGTTTAGACCACTCATACTGTCCGTGTGCATGTTGCTGATTTCGTTTTGTGTCAGGATCAAAGAACGTAGGCTGGATGGGTACCGGCTCAAAATGTCGCCTACGTCGGTTCAGCCTATTGCCGTGAAGATTAAGGTGCTGCAAGTTCGCGAGGCTCTGAAAAGCTTCATTTTCGATTGTCTCGATTCGGTTGAACTGGAGGTGCAGTTCTTGCAAATTCGGCAGCGAATAAAAAACTCCTTTGCGTATTTTCTTCAACAAATTGTTTTCCAGTCTGAGGTCCCGTAGTTCCACGAGTTCTTGAAAGGTCCCGGGAAGGAGGTCGGCTATCAGGTTGCTGTCTAGAGAGAGAGAACGCAGTTCGCGGTTGTTCTTGAACATGGTCGTATGTATCGAGCGCAGCTGGTTGTGAGAAAGATGCAGCTGAAACAAATGCGGCAGCGGATAAAAGGCAGCGATCTCAATCTGGGTGATGGCATTGTTCGCGAGAAAGAGAGCCGATATTTGGGACGAGTTCAAAAACGTATCGTTTGTTATCCTCAAGATGTTATTGTTAGTGAGAAGGACTTCACGAAGATGAGTCATGTTTCGGAATGTGCCACTTTCTATGCTGTGCAGGTGATTGGAACTCAGTTCGATGGTTCGTAGCCTTCTGAGAGGTGCCAGGACTTTGCGACCGAGAGTGTGAATGATGTTCTGACTGAGGTCCAGTGCTTCCAGCTCTAGAAGATGGATGAAGCACGAGTCATCTAAATCACTCAGCTGGTTCATGTGAAGCGACAGTGAATTGAGTCGCGGCATGGTCACAAAGCTTCTCTCGTTCAGTTCACGGATGCGATTTGAACTTAGGTCTAGGCGTTGTAATGCAGTGAACCTAGTGAAACCGTCATCGGGTATTTCTTTGATTTCATTTTCAGCGAGTCTCAGCTGCTTTCAGGCTTCGAAGCCTTCTGAGGGCGTTTAATGGAAACTCTTTTTGACCACTGTCTATTAAATTCAGTTCCTCGAGGCTGTTCTCGAGCCCTCCGAATGCGTATTCCGTGACATCGGTAATGTTGTTCTTTGAAAGCTGTAGGTTTGTCAGCTGAAGTCCGTAGAACACATAGCTTTCGAGTGAAGCGATGTTGTTTGAACTTAGCTCCAGAGACCGAAGGGATCTGAGGTCTTTCAATGCTCCTTTTGGAACGTGCTTCAGTTTGCTCTGCGTTAGTGATAAGGTTTCCAGGAAGTCTTCCAGACCCTCGAAAACGCCCTCTTCGACGTTCTCAAGCTGAGTATTTGACACGAACAATCGCGAAATAGTCCTGTTCACAAAGAATCCGGCTGGCAGAGTGGTGATGTTGGACTGCAAGTTGTATATGCTGAGCATCTTGACGGGGCTGTGAATTTCAAGCAGTGTACTCCGTATTTCGTCAGGCGTGACCGAGTTGCACTCGAGAAATACGTCGCTGTCGAACTCGTAGCACGGGCACCAAGGCTTCCTGTTCCAGGACGGGCACATCTCCTTAGCGTCTTCAGGCACTGACAGGGGGCATCAGGCAACAGCCCCGCATTCAGCAGGGGCAAGGATCCACTTTAGTACCCAGAGCCATTCGTGACATAAGACAGCGATGCGGTGTGGCTCGCTGCAGGCCCAGAGTCCCGCGCAGCCGTAAAGGGACCATGTCACGTGGTCGGCATCTGCAAATAAAAAGAGAAACTATTGAAGCATGACCTTGAGTGTTTGAGCTGACCAGTACTGAGTTCAGCGACCCATATCAAGAGGTAATGAATGACTCATCTTTATGCACATTCACACTCAATATGAGTTGCAATACGCCGGATGTGGTTAAAGTGAACCCAAGCCTAAACAAGGACACCTAAAGACGTTACGTTGGCTCAGAAAGTACCGCTAACTGGGACAGTTTAGTTCCTCTTTTTTTTTACTACGTAAGTGTCAATTTTCAGTGTTGGTGTCATTCTGAGTCCAGACTGCGTGTTGCGACTCATTTGAGCGTGACTGTACCTACCATAGTGTCGTGAAGAATTCGTGCAAGTGAGTGACGCGCTACGCCTTCATCGGCCATTCACAGTTATTGTGATTTTTTGTTATGATAAAAAAATTCCTGTGTTCGCAAAGGAGGCACATGGGCTTTTTTGTATACAAGTTCACTTTTTATTTGGATAGAAAAGCATGGCCAACATAGATGCAGCCAGTTCAATCCATTTTATATTTAGTTTACATCAATACCAATACAAGCAATTCACGACGCTTGCCGTGACTCAATGTCTTTTTATATCGTGATGGTTTGCGTAACGTACCAGTTCAGCTTTACGAAATTTTACATGTACCCAGCCGTATCTGTTTATCGCATCTAAGATCGATGTCAGTGCGATGCGGAATTTCTGATCACATCTTTCATGATTCGGTGTAGGTGTCCTAACACTAAAGTAGTATAAATTCGGCATAATTAGAACATCGCCCATGTACGCAAATTAAGATATTGAACAAATCAGCAACAATCTAATCAGTCGGATGGTACAAACTATTTTGGAGTAAAAATAAACTAAGTCATAGTTGAAGGCCGCGGCAATCTAATCGAAAAATTTAGCGAATCCTGGAAAGCTTCATAGGTCTGATAGCATACGACGCAATTTCATTCTTGCCTTACGTGAGGAATAAACACAAAGTAACAAACGAACGTTGCACAAGCTTTCGAGACCAGAAGCGTAGCTTTGTTATGAATATCTTAGCCAATCTACATTTTCACTTGACGTAGCAAGGCGTAGCTCTTACAACAAACTGCACTATCAAGGAAGAGAGAATAGTGCTTTTGGGTATAGGCAGAAAAAAGAAAACAAAGAACATACTTAACATCTAGAAGTAAAAGAGATGAACAACAAGATTGTCAAAACAAGCTTCGTGCTACGGTATTGTCCAGAGATCTTTTTATAGGAATACAAACCAACAGAATTTCGTTCGCTCACAATAGAAGGGGGACGCATTGCACAATAGGTGTCGCAAACGGCAAGGCTTCTATTTTCTCCCCCACCATTTGCTCTCACTGTCAACTCAAAGGAAAGGAAAGGAGTGACAGGGGGTCCTTCGATTGAATCCGGTAAGCCTCGTATTGACCGTCTTCCATGGCTGCCCACCGGTGTCGTTGGCGCAAAGGAGGGCAAACAGAAATAATACAGTCCTTCTGCCTTGAGCAGGTAACCCCCCCCCCTAAAAAGAAAACAAGAAGGAACAGAATGGGGGGTCAGCCGACGTTGAACCAAGAGTCGCTGGACCTGACATTCGTACAGAAGGTGCTGGGCACGCGAAAATGCCCACTCGAGCAGGCTGAAGCTGACTGCTACGAGTATGCTTTTCACTTTGATTGATCAGACATTCGTCGATTTTCCTCGCTCTCAGCATTCCATAAAACGAATGAAAAGCTTAAGGGAAGAGCCAGTGACACACTTTGAGAAAATTTGTGTTACTTTGTAAAGGGAATGGGACGTGATCAGCAAACATGCGGGTATGTACTATAAAACTGTAGAAAAAAAGAATCATGGTCACATTGCCCCCAGCTTTGACACCTCTCTCTTCTCATAATTCCTGAAAGTTTAGGTGCCTTCTAGAATCGCTGCGCAAGAGCAAAGCGCAGTGAACGGCCTAACAAAATCTATGCATAGTGCGCTGCTACAAACAATAAGTCTACCGAATGTACTGTAGTGATAGATAATGTATTACTTGACATACGTGGCTGAGTGACTGCTAAAAAATGTCTCAAAAGTCAGGATGCATAATTGAAAACAAGAAATTCTAGTTCCACGACAATGGAGCATAAAGATAAAGATACAAATAATATTTGTATTGAATAAAGGAGGTAAAAAGTTTTTCATCAAGCTCAATCCATCTGAATATGAAAAATCAGTAGGGGGCAGCAGCAGGCTGCTTTGAACTTACCTACTTCTAGCGAACAATTTTTTGTGGATTATGTTTTTCTTCAGCCTGATTGCTATGTATGCCTTTATTCTTTACATCTCTAATATTACTGCTTTCATTGCTCATGACGGCACTACTTCCTCACTGCTAATAGAAAACACTAACTTTCCTCTTGTCTTTCTTTGATACTCAATCTTTCAGGTTTCCTCACTGCAAGTATATTCGGTCGTGGCGCTAGATTGCATATGTTACCTCAGCTATACATTTGTTATCTCAAGCCCTTCCTTTTCCTTCGCTCATGTAGCAAATACTTTGTACTAGAAAAAAAAAACATGGCAAGGAACATATAGGCACGAAATTGATGTCGCATCAAATATAAATTCAATATAGGCTCGAGGCTTTCACGTCCTGCATTGGGTTGTAAAGCCAAATTTATGTTTGTATCTTGATTGTTCTAATGACGGAAGAGAAAAGAGAAAAGAAGACAGGAAGACATCGATGTTAACGAGTTAAACATCACTGATATGCTACCCTCCACAAGGGAGAAAGGTCGTTATTGTTGAAAGAATTGCAAAGAGAGATAAAGATAGGTGGAGTGCGCACACACACAGACACGCACACATGGGTACACACACGCACGTATACACACACGCACACATACACATAGGAACAGACACACAGGTAAACACACAAGCACACTTCTGCATGGGAGCACACACATGCACGCGCTCACACAAGGGCACACACCACATGGGCACACATACACACACATACAGACAGGCACACACGCACGGACAATCAGCGTCATAGAGCAGAGAGTTAGTTTTGTGTGGTATGCGGCATGATTCTGAATCTACAACCGCTCTTGTCAGTCTGTTGTCTTGAGAAATTACGAAAGTTTCTAAAAATGGCGTTATAATCTGGTGAGTTAGTACTATATACTTCGTAAATATAATTTATTTTTATGCATTCCAAATGCTGACGTTATCGCGTCTCCACGAACTGGCATCAGTAAGCGCAAGACGTGGTGATGAATTTTACGGTTCAGTAATTGACAAAAACAACTTGTTTGTTTGAAAAAAAAGTGAGTAGCAGCTAAAAGGTGTCTTCTCGACGGACTCGTGATTTAGGACTTTCACGAAGAAAGTCGAAGGCACTGGCTCTACTCAGCTTCTGATGCACGAACTCGCCTCTAAAGTCAAGGTTAAGTCTTATTAGCACGTCCAAACAAGACTGCCTTGCTGTGTGGACAAGCTGTCTTCTCGAGTGCATGCCAATCGAAATTCTGTTATATCATCCGCATTCGCGGGACACGGGTTATGGGGCTCAGCGACAGAATTTAAGACGTGGGTTCGGTCCTGGAGGTGGTGATCGCACTTCGATGAAGGCGAAATGGTACAGGTCTTGTGCAATATCATTGCACGTTAAAGAGCACTGTATGGCCAAAAGTTCTGGAGCCCTCCACTATGCGGCACCCGTCATATCTATTCTTGTGGTTCTGGAACGCAATACCCGAGATATAAGCGAAAGGAATATCTGAGGTTGGAACTTTTTAGCGACATATTTACAGCTGTACAGGTCTGGACCCCTCATGATACTTTTGCGAACCGGACTACGTTTCACAGCGACTAGATCATGCCAATAAGAGAAGGGAAATGAGCAGCCGCACTGACGCAGTTAAAATGTCATTTGTTCGGTGAAGTAGGTTGCCTTCTGAAGTGATAGAAATTACTTCACTTGAAGTATTTTGAAGATTACTTCAGGGTCTAGAGTAGTGTACTCGCGAGGATGTGTAGGCACGAGACGGTACTGTGAAGCTGCTTTGTATTGTCTACTCCCACGTGCCGCTACGTATAGTTGACAATGAATTGCGTTATTATTGTGTTGCAGAAGTGTGAGTATATCTGTATTCAGTGTTGAAATTTGGTATTCTTTTTTCCCACTCTAATGCCCTTGGGCCCTGTCGGTACAATAAATAAATAAATAAATAAATAAATAAATAAATAAATAAATAAATAAATAAAAACATAAATAAATAAATAAATAAAGGTCTGGTTACATCTGATTATAACACGAGAAATGCCGCAGTGAGGAACGCACCTTATGTACTGGTATGCATCGGCTTCTATTCGTCGCGTGGATTCATGTTTGACACACGACGGCGATGCGTTTGCCCCGAGTCACGGCCGAACTCGGGAGGATTTCGTCCCGCCGCAGTACAGAGCAAGTACACACTGTAAGAATAGATGCCTGGTCACTGTCTCGACTCGATGTTGGAGATCTCCACAAGTAGTATGGAGGAAGCTGCCGTGTCACTCTCCTGCACCTACTTGAATGCAAACAAGGCGTTAGAGCTGTGTACATCATCCCCCGACCTCCCGCTGGCATTGATGGGTGGGCGGCACGCACCGCTTGTCGAAGGGTTTAACTGCGTTGGGCCCCGTCGTAAGGAATTATGCTGGGCAGCTTGCGTTTACGACTGTTTCGCTCTACGCCGTCTACTATTATGCGTTGCATTAAGCCGAGCCATACGGTGAACAAGGCAGTCAGGGTGAAAGTGAGAGGAAGAAAACGAGTGTATAGAGTAG